CATCTGACACTTTCAGGTTGTTAGTTGGACAAAATAATCCCAAACACAATACCTCAAGTTCACCTTGACATGAAAGGTAAAAAAGTGTCACACTCTACTAATTCATGGATGTCCATCTCTTCCTTAAGTTGTGTCACAACAAGTAAATTTTGTTCCTGTACAGTATCTAAGAACTTATCGACTAGCACCTTTCCTCAGAATGAAGTCTATGTTAATCTGCTGTCCAGTGTTAAAAACAGCTAATATCATGGCCTGCATGCTCACATAACAAGTGGCGGGGTGGGGTGAGATCTACACAGGGGCCTGAAACTGAGCTGATAACAGAATATAGAGCGAGTAAAGTTTTCTGTAAGTCGAATAAGATAAAGTCTCGACACACTCTGCATCTCTATATGAGGAAAAGTGCCTTGTTTATTTTGGCTGGGGATAGAGTAAGAAGCCATTCTTTCACTTCAACCCACTCATCAATATGCTTGTTTAGACCTGAGGAGACCCAGAGGATTTACTGCGTTCTATACGGTTGTGCGGTGAACTGTTGTCCTCAGAGATGCATTCTCCTGTTGGATGTAGTTGCGCCTCTAAACCCTCTGAGCATAAATACCATCAGACCAATCTAGAAGGCACTTTTTTTGTTTAGCGACTAATAAAACATTGTCACTGCAAATAGAACAATGTCATCTTACAGGCAACAGAGGCTCTGCAGCTTCGTATCAGCTGTATGAAGAGAAAAGGGATGTGGGACAATGTTTAAGCAGATCACTGTTTTGATGCCATTTAAAAACCACTGAAGTTGAAGAAGTTTGACAACAAACTGCAGAAACGGCAAAATGCTGAGGCTGTCCTGAAGACAAATCAAACATCAAGTTATATTAGTTGCTGAAAAATAAAGTGTGAAATGAACTAAACATTCAACAACCTGGCAGGGTTTTATGGAGGCCCAAAAGTAAAGGATGTGCTGAAAGGAAAAAACAGAATTAATAATTTTTATCATGGCAAACTTAATTCTTGGAAGCCAAAAGAATAGCTGAAATTATTTTTTTAGCCTTTACTATGAGTTCTACCAAGTGCCACTTGGTAGATCAGTACAGGTACAGATCTCCACGAACCAGTTTACTAGGGGAAACCTTCCACTTGTAAAGGGAACTCAAACTGACATTTGATCAAACAAAGCCTGCATGAATATGTGTGAGAAGACAAGGCCAGACGCTTAAAGTCAAATGTGTTGAAGAGTTCAAATGGACTGGTTCTTATATTAGGGCTGCTCGATTATGGCAAAAATGATAATCACGATTATTTTCACTGAAATTGAGATCACGATTATTTGACGATATTTATTTAACCCTTTAAGACCTACCATAGAACCAAGTCCGCCAGAGCTTATATTATTTTTTTTGTACATGCTGTAGTGCCATTTGTGGGAGCATTTCAAGTTGCTATACATCAATACAACTGTTATAGCCCATATTTTAATAATATGTATGCATTAAGTCCATAGTAACTACATTAATTGCAAACAAGTGCAATAAACTACAAAAAAATTGAAAATCGTTTTTGTTTTGTTTACATATATTTCTACTTGGAGAAATTTAAGAGGTTTATCCCTCAAAACTTTAAATACAAAAAAGTTGCAAAAAATAGTTTACAACAACAGGAAATTTATTTTGAGTGTCTTCATAGTTTTATTTTGGAGATACAGCAATTTTTAACTACTGCAGGAAAAACAAAAAAAACAATCCTATGATGCAAATTTGCAAAGAAAACAGCACGTGCATCAAAATAAACTATTTCCAGCTGTGCAATTCGAGTTCTAAGCATCCCAGCAACTATTCAGAAAAGTATCGAGTCAAACATGACTTATAAAAACACTAGTATAAGTATAGTATAGTATAGTTTTTTACTTAAGGCCTACAAGTAAAAAACTACATTTTCCGCAAAAATGACATCACTTCCGGTTTCGGGCAGGAAATGCGATAGTTCGAGTTGACGTCTTTTTCAAAGTGGGAAGTGTTAGGAACAGCTGATGGATCGGCAAAGCGTGTTTCTGGAATATTATGTTTTTGTTCCTGCAAGCGCTTTTTATGCAATTTTTGCAAAGCTTTATGTGGAAGGAAACCGTGACCGAGGACAAGCTGATGGCATCAGATGTAAGTACAACTCCTCCGGTTTCATATGCAAAACAAATTATTGCGCTAGCTTAGCGGTTCAGGTTCTACAGGGATTTAAAAATAGTTACGCAAAACGGAGTGTGCTGCTCTGACCGGCTTTAAAGGGTTAACAATAACAATGTATTGAATAATGACTTTAAAAAATAATATAAAATAGTGTGCAAATGTTTGCAATATAAGAAATAAATGAAAAATGTAAACATCTATGTTTAGTGAACTTTGCAGTGTTGCTCTGTGGTGCAGCTACTACATCGTAGCAAAGTTTACACACTGTCTACTTGATCCACGTCTAACTCCGCCAACCCATAATGTTTCCACACCACTGAAGTTTGTTTTTTTTACCTCTTTTCAACCAACAGCAGTCACTCTCCTCTCCAAATAACTTCTGCTTAGCTTTCTGAGCTTCCCTCGGGTCCTCTTAATTGTTGTGATGCGTGTTCGAAATGGAGAGCGGTGCGCTTGACTTACCACACGGAGCAGCGCGAGAGTAAAGCATGAGGGAGGGGCTAATAATCGGCTCAGTCATTTTTAATGATCGTTGAAAGCCCAGATCGTAATCGTGATTAAAATTCGATTAATTGAGCAGCCCTATCTTATATAGCACTTTTCTAGTCTACTTCAGCACTCAAAGCTCTTCATACA